TTAGCTAATTTATGAAAATTAGTGAGAATTTTTAGGTTCTGCAGACATTAAAGGAAAATAATTTGTCTTATTCAACACATCTCTCAATTGTCACACTCCCTTATTGTAATTAAAATTATTCCTTTGAAGACAGACCTACAATCAGCACAATGGTTAAGAGTTAATAGCAAGACTGCCCTGTTGAAAATCTACTTACAAGCTGTATAACCTTGGATAAGTTATTTAACTTCTCTGTGCCTCAGTTTCTCCATCTGTAATATAGGGGACAAATAATATCCTTTTCTTTCACAGATGTTAGGATGAAAGACGAACGTGCTTGGACTTTTGCTGGGGATGGTCAGCACTCCATAAATGTTAGCTAAAAAATATTGTTTTAGAAATATTTCACTTTTAAAAGTAATCTCTACATCCAACATGGGGCTTGAACTCATAACCCTAAGATTAAGAGTCACATGCCCTACTGAGTGAGCCAGACAGGCGCCTCTAGCTAAAAAATTTTTTAATTCAGTTTCAGAGAGTTACTCAAGCCCCACAATTACATCTCACATATCCTTCCTGATATTTTCATAAGGTTTTCTGTATCTAAAATAGATTACAGCCTTTACGTGAGGCTAGGTTTTGCTACTGCAAGACCTTTGATTGTACTATAAGCTATTACAAAAATAACACCTTGCCAGGAATTCTGGAAGTTTCCATAGAACCAAAATCTTTTAGTACTAAGCTTTTAGTTGCTTCCACTCTATGCAAAAAAAAATATTTCTAAAATGCTTAAGACATTTTTCTGCCCTCACACACGTCATTTTCTGCTGACTCCACCATCACAATGACTCAGTCTGTTTCTAGAACATTAATTACTGCACAAAGTGCTACAGAGCACTTAAACACTTAAGAGCCCCCTGTGCTTTTTTAGCATTCTTTTGTCTGCTCTTTCATATTTTCCCATCTCCTCATTGTCAAGGCATCAGCTGGCACTTCATACTGCTGTCCTCCTGTAGCAAACACTGCCCTCATTTTATATGATCTAGGATCCCAGGACATGCTAGAATGTTGTTTCAAATAAACAGAGGTTCTGTATGAGAGTTTTAAAGGGTTTTCTTGTAAAGAAAGTGCATGGAATTTGTGACATATATTTTAGGAGCTACGAATGACCACTAACATTTACTGAAGAATTCTTTTTTGGCAGGTCCAATGTTGGGCACTACATTCATTAGTCTACTTAATCTTGAAGCAACTCATTTTATGGATGCTAAATATACAAGGTTTCAGGAAGAGAACCAGCAGCTGAAGAAAACAGGGATATAAAGCAGTGGCATGAAGATTTGAACCTAGTACGGTGGACACGGGATTCTGGTGGTTAGCAAGTGCTCCCAACTCTGACACACACTTTTTCTCCCAGGACCAGCCAAGCTGAGTAAACTGGAGAAAAGTTGTCCATGTCTACCCTCTCAACTCCTCTCTAGGTAGCTCAAGTTATTTTAAGAATAGCTTTCCCTCGTAAGTTGTCTAGCTCTCTTTTATCTCACAGAACCAACTTTGAAGTGAAAACATGTTTGTGATAAGCTCTGGAACATCTGTGAGTGAAAAAGCCTCTATCTACTAAGCGAACCAGGGTTGATTAATCGCTAACCTAGTTGGTGCCTTCTGAGTTTTCTAGCATATGCCTCTGAATGTGGGAAACAGTCTTTTTAAAACAACCAGGCCTTGGTTATTGTTGTGAGGTTATTATAGTTCATCTGGCCAGGTCTCCAATTTCCATAGCCTGGGTGGTGTCAGATGACAACCGAATACTACCTTAGTTTGAATGCTGATGGCACACAGTGACATCTTTCAAATGCAGATTTCAACATTTCGGTTTCTAAATGTAGATTTCTTTTAAATTATAGTGACCCTAACCATTTGGTCTTTACCTATCTCCTCCATCAGCAGGTGTTTTTTTCCCCCTCCCTTTCGGGTCTTGTGATTATTTGTTTAAAACATGTAAATTGTTTCCCCACGCAGCTCTCCAGCAAGCCTTGTGGAGAAAGGACTTAAGTATTTCTTTTTGTAAAAGAATGACACCAGATCTTTTTCTTCCTGGGACTAAGATACACCAAGTAGTAAACCCTCATATTAAAGGAGGCCCAGGAAAGTCATTTAATGTACTCGGAGCGGGAATCCAATTAGGCTGTGCCAATCTGGGTGCAAACATCAGGAAAGGAGCGCCTGGGAGCAGCGTTGTGACCACCACAGATTCCTCAGGGCTCCCAGATGGAAGGCCTTCATTCCTTTCCTTCTGATCGGCACTATAGGCCAGATGCATCACACGGTACTCTGCCTCCAGTGCTGAGCTCCCTAAAAAGCAGTGATGATGACACTGAAGACTTCTCTGCCCTATCTCTCTGATGCTCCTCTCATGCCACACATAATTCCTTGCACAGAGTGCACACTGTATTTCTCATTGACGTATGTATTGGACACCTACTTTACGACAGGCACCGTACTAGGCTCTGGAGATTCAGTCTTGAGTGTTTCCTGAATTGACTTGTAGATAAAAGGAAACCGTGAAAATGCAAAGCCATCATCTATCTGGACCGTTAGGGATTGTTTTCTTTCCCTCTTTGGTGGCAATTTTTAATTAAATCTGCACAGCCATTAAGTGATAGAAGCCAAAGTGACAGAAGGCTCACCGCCTCCAAGAAGTTCCTGAACAAGGCCCGCCTGGAGGAAGGAAGGGCTTTCATGCTGTGTGTGTGTCTCAGTGCCCAGCTGGCAAGGTGCAGGCTCACTTAGCTCACCTTTCTACGCTTTTCCTGGCATCCCGTGACAGACTTCCCTTCTCCTTCTACATCAGATACTCAGTGAGCATTACTAGCTCTCTATCTGAGTGCCTAAAGGGGCATTTCAAGAACTCGTTTTTGAGGTGAAGAGCAGTTTTCCAGAATCTAGAACGGGCCTAAAATAAAATGGGCTTGGATTAATTTAATGTTAAAGAGTCCTGGCACATCTGTAGGAGAGACACTAATTGCTTGCTATTTTAATAAATTGGTATTGGTCCTAATGAGGAGATTTATTAAAGAAAAAAAAAAGTAGAGCACACATCTAGAGCTGAGGATCAGTCTGGGCTGAGGGGGGGATAATCACTTGGGGTTGGGGGGATGCAGAACATTTTAACCTGAGAGCAGTATCTTGTGGTTTAACACATGATGTCTTTGCATTTTATAAATTGTGGAGTCATCCAGGGGCCTCATTTCCAGGATTTCCTCTCTTCGTATTTATGAGACTGATAGGTTTATTCTGCTGAAAGTTCAGAGAACTATAGGTCACAGTGCAGATTTTTCTACAAAGAGCTTACAGTACAGAATTGGGTCCCACTCAAAAGCTTGAGCAACTTTTTCATTGATGACGTTAGGAATTTTAGGCAACTAAGAGATCAGCTTTCGGGATCCCTTTGACCTTGGTTCAATGCAAATAAATAAAGAGCACAAGGTAAAGATCGCATAGGTGGTATGTATGCCTATAAGCAAATAAATCAGAATTCTGATGACAAACGTTGGTGTTTGACAAAAGTGGTGTTTCAGGATCTGCCTCTGGGTAAGGGTCATTAAGTTAGGATTCATAATTTCTAATAAAGGAGGTCCAAGAAATCTCAGAAACAGTAAGTGATATTTTGTGCAAATGGGTATTTTTCTGGAGGGTGGGTTCATGGCCTTCCTGATTCTCAAAGGATCCGTGAATTAAAATGACATGAAGAACTGTTCCTGTTTTCTTACATTTTTCTATTCTTCCTCCCTCCCTCCCCCTCATTTTTTTTTCTTAATTGTCTGCATTTTCTTCAGGATGACCCTAGGCCTTAAACATGAGAGCAAGACAAGTACCTCCTTAGCAAGTGAGTACCTACTGCAGGACTAAGGACTTGCTCAGCGTGAATTCTGCACCCACACATAGGGTTGTAAGTCTTATGTTAACATATGTTTATTCTTATTATCATTATTGAAACAAGGAAGGGCAATGATAATCTTAAATCTCATTTAATCTTCATTCTTGCTGCACCATACCTGTTTCTTGTGCCACTGTTTCCTTGTATTGTCACCACTGGAAAATGCTTTTGGAATGAGGCAGGAGGGGGAGTGGGAACCAAGATTAAATAATTTCAAGTTGCATTCAAACTCTACAATACCTGCAAAATGAAATCACCTTTTCACTGTAATTCACAAAGCTGGCATTCTTTCCTGCACCATTTTCTCTTTTCAATCCCAGAGCCTATCTTTACTGTTAAGTCCCCACTATACACTGGACTCTGTGTGTTTGGAATACAAAAAAGAGGACGACAAGGCTCCTGCTCTTAAATTTACATCCCATATGAGAAACAGATCCTACTGGTGAGTACTCTCAGGTTAAAAGAAAATTGAAAAGATTTTTCCAAAGAATATGTACAAATGGCCAATAAGCACACTAAATGATGCTCATGTCATCAACCATTGAGGAAATGTAAATCAAAAGCACTCTGGAGGTGCCAGGGTGCTCAGTAGGTTAAGTGGCTGACTTTGGCTCAGGTCATGATCCCAGGGGGAGCCTGCTTCTCCCTCTCCCTCTGCCCCTCCCCCTGCTTGCATCCACACATGCAGTCTCTCAAGTAAAATCTTGTAAAAAAAAAGAAAAGCACTATGAAATACTACTTCACACTCACGAGAATGGGTATAATTAAAAGAAAAAACCAATAACAACAGTCAACAAGGATGTGGAGAAAGTGGAACCCTCATACATTGCTGATGGGAATGTAAAATGGTACAGTCATTTTGGAAAAGCCTGGCACTTTCTCAAACAGTTCAAAATGGTTACCATATGACTCAGCCATCTCTTTCCTAGGCGTATATCCAAGAGAACTGAAAGCATATTCACAAAAAACTTTTCCATAGATGCTCATAGCATCATAATTCATAATAGCCAAGAGGCAGAAACAACACAAAAGTCCATCATCTGTGAATGGATAAACAAAATGAAGAATAAGTGCATTTATTTACCTGGCTTTACAAGGCCTGACTTTGGTTCCTTCTTATATCGAGATGACTGGATGCTTCCTTCACCAACCATTCCAATTGTGCATTTCTTCCTGGAAAAGTCTTCATCACTTCCAGGGCAAAAGCCAACAGGGCTGTTTCCAGTATCTGAGGGTGTCTTCACTGGAGACACTGACTGGCTACTGGGACAGCCTGTGTCATCTGGAAAATAGGAATCAATAAGTGTTTAATCAGGAGGAGGAAATCAATGATGGCAAAGAGAAGTCATTCAGTGAGCCATACACACGTGCACTCACACACATGTACTCTGCTTATGAGGACCTGGGTTAACTTCTGTGGATGCCTCTCCTTTTATTTTCCATATTTTGGCCAATTATGTTAAGAAAACATCAGCTATCATAAATCATATTTTAAGGCAAAATCTTCTAAGCTTTTTGGACCATAAATATTTCTGTAACATTCACGTTGTCAATGCTTAAAGGTTTGTCCGTTTTAACACAGGTAGTGTATTTTGGGTCAAACCTGTCCATTGATTTTTTTTTTGATGCGGTTAGTAATAAAAAGTTCACCACAGCAACTCAGGGGCATTGCAACTCTTCAGAGTTGTTTGTGTAAGGAAAAAATTTACTTGAGTATTATTGACCACACCCAGTTTTTGAACACTTGGCCTATCAACTGGTTAATCGAATTTAATAGGTAAGAGATCTGGCTTTTGGAGTTCAAGGGGACAGAACAAATGTGATCCCACCCATTTTATTAGCATACATACCATACCCACCCCAAAATATATCAATCCAATATCTTGTTATCTGAGATAAACTGGTAAAATGAAAATGATACTCAAATTAGAAACACCCCTTAAGGGAATCCCTGGGTGGCTCAGTGGTTTAGCACCTGCTTTCTGCCCAGGGCATGATCCTGGAGTCCTGGGACTGAGTTCCACATTGGGCTCCCTGCATGGAGCCTGCTTCTCCCTTTGCCTGTGTCTCTGCCTCTATCTCTGTGTCTCTCATGAGGAAATAAATAAAATCTTAAAAAAACAAAACAAAACATCCCTTAACTTTCAAGTTGTAGATTATTACTAGGATCATTACTATAAGCTAATAATATGTGTAATATATGAAGTGACCTGTGTAGATGCTTATCGGGCAAACAGGTAAGCCATACAGCTGACTCCTATAAATGCTTTCCATAATTATTAAATATTTATGATGGTTGGTTAATTCATTTATACTTTGATGAGGAGAACTGTATGGGAATTTAAAGTAAATCAATATTACTTAAAAGTATGTCCAAATAGCCAATTAGTGGTAAATATTCATTACTAAGTATTTTGATGGCAGAGCTACTTTAGTAACTCATTAGACAAAAAAACAAAAACGATAGAGACTTTTAGTACTAACAACTTTAGGACTATTATGCTTTTATGAATATTAAAGGAACAAAAATAATTTGCCCCCTGTGAAAGGCCCTCTTAAATTTTCACATCTTTAATCAAGACAGAAACAGAACTAGGCATGAATAAAATATATTGGTTGCCTGAATTAAGATGACTAGAATTTATCTAAGATATCATTGCTTTGCTTCCTTTTTGGCTTTTATTTCAGATTTTATTATGAAATAGCCCAGTTTCTGGAACAAAGTGAACTTGGCACTGGTAAAATGAATCATTTCTCCCAATTTTTTTTTTTTTAACTTTTGGACATATTAGTATACACAGGACCTCAATGGTCCATTTCTGGAAGTGAGTGGATTTTAGTGCACTCTTCTGCCTTCTGCCTTTGCTGCTCTTTTACAAGTGCCTTGTTTTTTACCAAACTCCGGAAGAAACTTTGGCCATGAATGACAGTGATGAGAGCCCCTCCTGGCTGCTACTGCTCAACTCTTTCATCACGTACTGGCACTGGCCGTGCCTTTCTCTGACATTAGCATGTCCCATGCTTCCATCAAAAGAAATCCCAGCTCTTGCCTAAAGGTGCAAAGCTGCTAATTACTCAAATGGATTCCAGCACTTTTACAAGGCTCAACAGGCCTGCACATTGCTTCAGGAGGTCCTCCTTCTTGATTCTGATCGCAAAGCAGATAAACCCAAGCAAATGAAGTCTAATCATTCGAAATTACCCATTGCCTTTAAAATTATTTCCTTATGAGTCACTTCCATAAATTACTCCTTTTTAAAGAGAGATGGCCCAAATAAATAAAAACCCATGCTTCAGATTCACTAAACTAAAAAGCAAATTTTTTTTTTTTTGGAAAATGCTCAGACTCAAGGGGACAAAAATCAAACAATTTCCAGTATTGAGAAACACTGTCAAGATTATAATTTATGTAAATAAAAAGTGTTTTCCTGATTCTATTATCATTTTGCCCGAGTTAAATAAGGATTATGTATAAGCCATATTTTCAGTGCTAATGATGTCAAGAATTAAGTGCTAGGGTCTGGTTAGAAATTGGGACCTGAGGGGCATCTGGGTGGCTCAGTTGTTGAGTGTCTGTCTGCCTTTGGACCTGGGATTGAGTCCCATCAGGCTGCCCGCAGGGAGCCTCTTTTTCCTTCTGCCTATATCTCTGGTTGTCTCCCTGAGTCTCTCATGAATAAATAAATTAAATTAAAAAAATATTGGGACCTGAAATTATTTAGAATAGTGGCAGTTTAAGGGAGGCAGTGGCAACTTTTTTTTTACCTGGAATGTGTCATCAATATTTACAGTTAGTATCTCCAGGGGAAGGGATTGAGAAGATGAAGACCTAAATAAATTTTTAACTATAGGTACCTCGTACAGCATCAGAATCACCACAGAAACTAGTGTTCACCCAACATTTCTTAACTGTCTAGTACTGTGCTTCATATTGAGGGAGAAATAATGGGAATATAGACATGATCTTTCATTGGTTAAACAAAGTGTTGGCACCGAACCAGCCTACTGGCATTATACCCAGCCCCCATATCAATGGCCCTCATAAATCAGCAAAAGGAGTTGGGTAAATATCACTTAAACAACATTCCTATAAACCAGCAAGCCTGTTAAGGCAAATCCATACATAAGAAAATCGGTAACTTACCAGAAAAGTTTGGGATATTCTCTTGTTATGTCTGATGAGATCAACACTAACAAAGGAAAATAGTTTTGGAAAGGGCGGGGTCATTGATTTTCCTTTTCAAAAATTTTATTTAAATTCAATTCGCCAACATATAGTATGAACGAACACCCAGTGTTCATCTCACCATGTGCCCTCCTTAATGCCCATCACCCATTTACCCCATGCCCCCACCCACAGCCATTATTTTTCCTATTAGAGGGAACAGACTTTCAGGTATGCAAAAGGAAGACCTGAGCAAAGGCAACAAAGGTTCATGTACCAGGGAGTCAACCACTAGCCTGTGACACCTGAGGTATTTTTCTCTGTGCAGCACTGAAAAGGTGGTTCTTTTTTCAAGAAGTCTTAACTTAAGACTCCTTTTCTCCTTTCCTTCCCCTTCCTTCCTCTTCCTCCTCCTCTGTAACTGCAGGGTCAGAGTTGGAAGCAGATTGCTAGTCCAGGTCTTTGTAATACTCTTTCCCAAAATTGTATGTAAAATATTCTCCCTTGACATTTACTCCGAGATTCTAAGACTGAAGTCAAGTTGATACTCTTGGTTATTCATGTCTAATCTTACTCTGTGCCAAACTACATGTGGATCAAGCACATATTACAGAGATTTATTTATTAAACGCACTTTGGTTAAACCCTTTGAGTATGCCCTCTGTTTTCCTGCTGCTACTAGCTAAATTTGTCCTTTGGAACCCATGGGTTTATAACCACAATATTTACAATTATGGCTTTTATTAGTTGTGTTAGTACAACGAAATTATCAATGACAAAAAATTCTAGTACAACACCATGAGGAAACTATTTCAAGGCAGGAAATGACAGAAATCCTGAATGACCTATCCAAAACGTGTGGAGTGTTTCAAATTTCCAGAAAAATGCCTGAGAAAAACAAAAACGTTTCAGCCTGGTCTTGGCATAGGAAAGCTTTACTGCAAGCCTTTAGGAAGAGCATGTAGAAGATTGTCAGTCTCTGGAGAGGGAGGAGTTTTTATATAAATGTGTGTGTGTGTGTGTGTATATATATATATATATACACACACACACACACATATACACACACACACACCCTACATAATTGAACTCTTTTTTTCAATAATTGAGCTCTTATACTTCTTCATTATTTATGGTAAATATAACTTCATTTAAAAAAACATAAAACAGGACCACATTTCATGTTTACACATTGTGATCCATCTGAAAATATAGGATGACTTCCTTCTGGGGTCAATAATTTTAAATCTCACTTAAATGGGCCCAGGATGGTTCCTGGTGGAACAGGGTAAAAGTGACCCTTATCAAGGCTACTTTTGATCACCATCTGTAGGGAAGGAGACTAATTCACATTTCTTCTTTGATCTATGCTAAGGAATAGGTCATTTTGTTCTTGCTGTTCGTTTGCTTGGAATCTGTCATCATACAGGATTAAGCATATAGAAAGAATCCTCACAGATCCAGAAGTCCCAGAAGTCATGATCCCCCTAGAGTGCTGTAAGAAATGTACCTACTAAATAGTTTCCAAATCGTTGTTTAGGGGGAAAAAATGTTAAGGTCTGTAAGGACAGATGGGAGAAACAGGCATCTATTATAATTTTGTAGCCTGAAGGTTGTTAAAAAAAAATGTTTTTAAATCTATTTTTCCTCTCTCTTTACATTACAAGCTCTTTGAAAATATGGTATATGGTTAATAATTGCACAACTGGTCTACTTATAATTCTGGAAAAAGGTGTAAGTATCTTCTAAAATAATTTGTGTCTTATTTTAAATTTACTAAAGGAATTTGATAAATTAAAGGAAATCTGTTGGGGTTGTTAAAATTTTAACTTAAACTTTAACATTATAAAAGCAATAATTCTTAATGCAGAGAATCTAGATAGACTGCAGAAGAGTACACAGAAGGAAAGTAAAAATAAACAGAAAAGTTTCCTATAACTGTTGTACCCAGAAAAAATACTGAACAATTTGGTCTATTTCTTATTGATCTTTTAATTATGTGTATGGTTTACTTGCTCACTTGCTTTTTGCTTTGTTTCAACGTATAGTATATTCAGTTTCATTATTCTGATTTCTGAACACTTTCCCCTGGAACTTGTTAGGCTATAAAGAAAGAA